CCCCCCCCACCCCACCACACACACACCTCCCCCCCCACGTTCAGCAGCCCAGCCCCTAATGGCCCCCCACGGGCATTCAGCAGCCCAGCCCCCCCCCAACCCCCCTACCGAAGTTGTTGCTGGGGTAGCGCTTGCGCAGACGCTCTGTCAGCCGCGACACCTTGCTGCGGATCACCTCGTTCTTGCTCATGACGCTGCTGTCCGGGAGGCCGATGTCGAACTCGGCGGAGCACTGGGAGACGTCATCGTCCTCCTGCCGGAGAGCCCAGCTCAGCCGGGACCCGCTCCCTGGGGACCCGCTCCCTGGGGACCCGGCCAAGCCACCCGGGGGCCACAGGGCAGGAGCTGGTGGAGGTGCTCGGCCTGGTGCCGCTCAGGGGACAAGGACCCAGCTCTGCCCAGGGCACCTGCCTCCCCCAGCCCTGGCACTCAGCCGAGCGCCAGCCCCGCCTGGTACTCACCATGGCCAGCGCCTGGGTCTCCTTCTCCCGCAGCGAGGAGAGAAGAGAGGGCAGTAGCGATGGAACAGACAGCAGCAGGCCCCCCCCGTGTCCCCCCCCAGAGCCCCAGCTTCTCCCCGAGGCAGAGACAGCAGCACTAGGCTCTACCTGCCTGGCACACGGGCAGCACACGCCAGGTAATGAGGAAGGGCTGGGGGCAGGAACACCCCCCTCCCCCTCCCGCACAGCCCCTCTCATTCTAAGGGGGAAGTGGGATTTCCTGTCCAGCTCTCGCTCACCAGTGCCCTCCAGTGGCCGCCGAGGGAGTACACAGCTCGACGCGATACCACCTCTAGCCAGGTGTGTGGGGAGCCCCCCACCCGCCCCACTGGGTACGCACCTCGATAGCGTCTTTAAACTCCTCGTCGGGCTCCGCCTCCTCCGCCTCCTCCACGCTGCCGGGTGTGAGGTCCTGCCAGGATACAGGCCCAGGTCACTATGGCCCCGCCCACCCGGGCAGGGAGTGACACAGGGCCGAGGGCAGCGCAGGGAAGCCAAGGCCGTGGGCAGGGAATGGCACAGGGCAGCAGGTGTCATGGGCAGCGCAGAGAAGCCAAGGCCGTGGGCAGGGAGTGGCACAGGGGAGCAGGTGGTATGGGCAGCGCAGAGAAGCCAAGGCCGTGGGCAGGGAGTGGCACAGGGCAGCGCAGGGATCAGGCTCCGGTTGGGGGCCGGGAAGCACGAGCCGCCACACGAGCCGACAGCCCCCAGCCCAGCCGGCTCACCTCAGTGCTGGTGGGCGTGGGGGTCCGATCCACCAGGGTGCCACCCCCCTCTCCTCCCGCGTCGGGCTCCGCCGGCTCCGGGGCACTGGCGACGGGCTTGGGGCCAAGGCGCTGCTCCACCGTAGCCTTGAGCTCCAGCAGCACTGGGGAGAGAGGGGGTGTTGGGGCGGGACACGCCTGGAGCATGGCAGCCTCCCCCAGGGCGGGGCCCAGAGCTCCCACCCCAGGGGCAGCCCCCATCACTACCCCCCAGCCATGGCCCAGGCCCTAGCAACAGTTCCCATAGTGCCATGGGGCAGCCGCGCATGGGGCTGGGGCCACTGCCCCTTTATCACACAGTAGGGAGTGGGGCGGATTGACCTGGGACTGTCTGCAGGGGGGAAGGGAGAGCAGGGGATGACTTTATTTGAGGGAGGATACCTGAGCCTGTAACCTGAGCTGGGAGGGGGGTGGGGCCAGCGGAAACTGGACAAAGGCTGGGGGAGGAGCTGGGTGAGATGGCTGGAGGGGGTTTCAGTTTTGGGCTGGCTGGGGAAGAGGAGGGAGTCACCAAGTTTGGGGTTTAATCTCCCTGCCCCCAAGAGGGATCTGGCTGAGGGGTCCTGGTTGTACCTACACGCTCTGCTGGGACTGTGTTCCTGTCGTCTAATAAACCTTCTGTGTTACTGGCTGGCTGAGAGTCCCGGTGAATCACAGGAAGTGGGGGTGCAGGGCCCTGACTCCCCCACACTCTGACACCCTCCCACCGCACAGCAGCTGGCTGGGACAGCAGAGCCCCCCGTCCCAGCCCTCCCCCTGCATGGCTAGCGCTCACTCCTGCCGCCAGCTCCCCGACTCAGGGGAGGGGACCCGGGGAGACGCTCGGTCTCTCTGGGCCACGGATCCGGCCGGTACCGGGGCTGATTCTGCGGTGAGGGGCCAAGTGAGTCCATAGCTCGGCAGAGGGGACAGGATGGCGACTGGAGCGCTGGTGGTCTGAGCCCAGAGCCAGCCACTGCCCTCACATCGGCCTCCTTGGGTGCCAGGCTGCGGCATCACCCCCTGAAAGAGCAAGCAGCGGCTACTGCCACAGCCAGGATCCTTGGACCAGGGGGAGCCTGGCCCAGCAGAGGGGATGGGGACCCCAGAGCAGAGGGGAGGGGCTGGCAGCTCTAGCTATGGGGAGAGGCAGACCCGGGGGGAAACCTGCATGGGCCCAGCCGGGAGGGGGGCACTGGGGGGCTCCAGCTGCCAGCCAGTCAGACCCACTGCTGCCCCCAGAGCCCGTGGGTGCCTGCAGGGGGGCTCACCTCGGTAGAACTCGGCGTTCCCCAGGAAGAGGGTGCTGTTGAGCAGGGCGAGGACCCAGCAGAGGGGCAGCAGGTACAGGACACAGAGGGAGCCCAGCAGCGCCCCATAGAACCTGGGCAAGGAGGGGGCAGGGCTCAGAATAGCAGGAGCGCCTCAGCCACACGCCCAGCCCCCATCCTGCACGCCCCTGCCACACGTACGCAGCCCCCCAGCACCTCCCCCACCGTGCCACGCGCCCAGTGTATGCGCCTCCCCCACGCCACGCCTCCCCCCCGGTGTCCCCAGGCCATGTACCCCCCCCGTATGGGCTGTCACACCCAGAGTCCTGCCCCCCCTCCCCTGAAACACAGGGGAGCCACGCTGGACACCTCCCTTCGTGCCTGGCTCACTGGCTGGGTTTGCAACCTCTCCAGGGGGTCCCCAGCCAGCCCCTGCAGCAGAGGGGACCAGAGGAGAAAGCCCCTGGGCCCACAGGAGGGGGGGGCGCAGACTCACTGGGACGACAAGGCGGGGGTCTCCCAGTGCAGCACGCGGTACGCCCCCTCGCAGGCACAGCACAGCCAACTCAGGAAGCCCTCCAGGTGGATCAGGCTGGGGAAGAAATGGGACCATCAGGGGGTGCCCACCCAGGGCATGTACCCAGCCCCCCAGGCCACAGATCCACCCCACACAGGACACGCGTGTCACCTTCCCCAGCGGGGATCACAGCCAGGAACTGAACCAGGCCCTGCCCCTCGCCTGCGTGGGGCACTTTGCAGGGCTCCTGGGGACTGTCTCAGCCCGACACAGCCAGGAAGGCCCAGGCCGGGGCACCACCGGGACAATAGAGGCAGCCCTGGGGCGACCCCACTGCTCATAGCCAGGGGCTGCCGAGCAGGGCCCAGCCGCCCCAGGGCCTGCCTGCTGGGGACCCCGCCCCTAGTGGGCAGTTATGGAATAGCCCATCCATGGGGCAGTTCCCTGCCCCAGCTCCACAGGCCTGAGCCCTGGCAGGGAGCAGGGGTCTCACCCCCAAGTTGGAGTCCCCGTGTTGGGGAGGGAGCCCCCGAGAGCCCGGCCCGGCCGCGCCCCATCCCATAGGGCCCTGGCGGCTGGACAGATCCCAGCACTTACAATCTCTTCACCTCAGCGACGGCTTCGTGCCGCGCCAGCCGCACCTGCTGCACATCCTCACGCCGCACGCTGTGGTACCTCTGGCGCACCAGCTCCGACTCCGGCCGGCGGACCCGGCATGTCTCCCGCAGGTAGCCCAGCAGGGCGGGTAGCAGGACCAGCAGGGCGCACAGCGAGAACCAGGCAGCTGGAAGAGCCAGGCCGCGTCAGGCCACCCGGCCTGGAGCAGAACCAGCGACACCCCCGGCCGTGCCCAGGGGCATGAGTCAGTTCTGGCCTGCGGCCCCACACCTCAGCCACGCCCATCTTCCCCAGCTACCCACCCACCCTGCCGCCCATGTTCCCCACCTGCCTGCTCCCCATCCCCCACCTGCCTACCACCACGGCCCCTACCTCACTAGCCTGCTCCCCATCCCCTGCCCGCCTCCACGTCCCCTGCCCCACCTGCCTGCTCCCCATCGCCTACCCACCTGTTCCCCATCTCCCGCTTGCCACCACGTCCCTGTTCCCCATCCCCCACCTGCCACCATGTCCTCCGCCCCACCTGCCCCCCACGTCTACCACCTGCCTGCCTCCTCCCGATCCCACGCCCGCTCCACATCCCCCGCCCCACCTGCCTGCTTCCCATCTCCTACCCGCCTGTTCCCCATCCCCCGCTTGCCACCACGTCCTCCGCCCCGCCTGCTCCCCCATCCCCCACCCCACCAGCCTGCTCCCCCCATACCCCGGCAGCCCCTCACCTTCAGTCAGCGTGAGCAGCAGGAAGTTGAGGCCCAGGCAGGTGAGCAGCGAGCACAGGGGCATCTGCCACCTGCGGGGCAGAGCCCAGGTTAGTGGCTGTCAACCATGTTGGAGCCAGAGGGAGGTTCCCCCCACCCCCCCAGGCAACACCAACAGCCAGGGCCGCACCTACCTTAGCAGGAAGCGGACCCCCTCCCAGGCGTCCTGCAGGGGCTCCAGGTACATCTCCAGCCGCTTGGAGGACAGGACCAGGCTGAAGAGGTCGAAGGCCGGGGACTTGGGGGGGGCGAGCGACTCCATCTGGGCGTCGGGCAGGGCCGGGCCCCCCTCCGGTCCCTGCCCCGCAGCCTCGCGCTCCGTCTCCTGCATGCTGCACACAGGGGTCAGACCCTCCCTGCCGGCCCCACGGCCGAGGGGACACGCTGCCCTGCGGGAGGGGTGGGGGGAGACAGAGTACTCAGG